ATGCGCTCACGGCTGCGCTCGCCGGCACACCCCAAGCACGTGGCAGCCACGGCACGTCACGTCGCTGGCTCACCGCCCACGCTGCCACAGCACGGATAAGGTGCCGAAAACACTGTCAGGCCTTTCAGATAAGACAGATTCAGGGCAAGGGAGAGTACCAGGTAGAGAGCAGTAGCACTTGTCAGGGTTGTAGCAAGGCTGATAAGGCGGGTGCGGGAGGCCGGCGGGGGAGTGCCGGCACCATCTGCCCCGAGCGAGCAGGAGAGAGTGGCCGAGAGCCATCTTCTACGCGGGCAGCTGGAGCTCTGCCCTTCCTCCCGGCCCTGGCGCTCGGTACCTGCGCCCACACAACCCGCACGTTCACATCTGGGCACACACTACAAGTTTCGAGGCACTCTTGCTGCTGCCACAGTCATTCCTAAAAGGGCTCAATATTTCCATTTCTTTTTGCAACAGAGGGTCTGAAGCAGGACTGTGAGCATTAACTTACTGTATGATCACTCAGGCACTCCCCATCCTTACCCATCACCAAGACACGACATTATCAGCTGAAGTGAAACCCGCATTATATTCTTTCACAAGAAAAATATTTTATATCTAGGAGACATAATAAATGATACAACTGGTGAGAATAAGTTACACATATCGGCTCCTACCTCCAGCCTGTCTGTCCTCATCAGCTTTTGGGCAGCGGCGGCGGCAGCGGCAGGAACCGGGACACCGGGGTTCCCTGTCACCAGCATTGGGGCGGTGGGCAGGATCTCCGCTGGGACCAGGCCTGGGGAGACGGGCCCCAGGTAGGGGTTGAAGGCAGCTGATGCGTTGGTGGCTAAGCTCGGTGCAACGGAAAACATCGGCTGCAATCAGAGAAAAGAAGAAGAAAGACACTTTAAATACTTGAAATTGCCATACCGTTAGCATAGTAACTTTTTGACGACCATCTTGAGCACGCTGGCGGTGAGTTTCTGTTACTAATGGGAAAGAACCATTCGTCATGTTTGTGGGACATGAAGAACACTCGTGCAAGGGTCGCACATGAGCAAGACCACGAGGACTGGCATCCCCCACCAGCCTGCGCTGGTTCTGCTGCTCAGGCTTCCCCGCACGCCTACGACACCTGGCAGCTCTTGGAGCAAACTCCCATGTGATCTGCGCTTGAGCAACGCCGTCACAAACGAGCACTCCTCAGGGCCACAGGAGAAGTGTGAGGCTCTCGGAGGGACACGTCCAAACTGCGTACAAACATTGCTCCCGGGGGAGAAGGCATCTGCATGACAGCCCCGACACACCGTCAAACCACGCTCAACTTCAGACCCGGATAAATACATTTCTGACCCTGGTGACAGCCCGCACTCGTTCGGAAATTACAGAGGTTTAATACAGGAACAAGACCAGACGACCATAGTCATTTATTTTTACAAAATTAAACAGGCTGTCCACGCAGATATTCAGAAAGAAATACATCGCATCAAGGATATGTTTTATTTAGACTAAAACATTAAGCCAGAGAAAGAGAGAGAAAGCATGCAAATACTGGGTTTTTTGTTTGTTTGCTTGTTTTAAAAAAAGGAAGAGTCAGACGCCCTTGTAGGCTATCACATGTTGTGAAGATAATTGGATGTAGAAGACCAAATAACGCTGTAAGACCAAATGCAGAGCTGTTACACTGCAGTGAAGATTAAATAACTCTTCTGCCCCGCTGAAGGCAAAGGCACTGCGCCACCAGTGTAATTGCCAAATAAAATTTGGTCCAGAGTGTTTATCTTTAGTATCTAAATAAAGTAGTTACTTATGGCTTTTAGATTTTTCTTCCAAATAACTTTTTAGAGGGAAAAACAACTGCAGAGTTAACGCAACTCTTTTTCTCTGTTTCATATCTGTTTAAGCCAGACAGCATACACCACCACATGTTTTTGTATTCCTGAGGAAATGACTGGACTGTTTGGGAGCAAGGAACGAGTCCATTTGAAAACACTGGGGAAAAACACATTGCTGAAGAAAAAAGACTGAAATTTCCTTAACATCTCTGGTTCTTCATCCATGTGAATGAAAAACAAACGGGCAAATTTTACAGGAAATAAAATATTACTCTTAAATACACTATTAATTAACTGCAATTTTAATTACTGTGTTATCAGCGATGTAATAATGAACACTGAAAATAAAACTACCAACCAGTCTGTTAGTGTGTAACTTAGGAGTTATCAATGTTTGATTTCAGCCCAATATACTCCCTGCACAGTAAATAAAAGACTATCCCATTTATTTTCCACCAAGATCATTTCATACTAATATAAATACGCCGTGGCCCTTAGACCACTGCAAAATAATAGCATATTTTATCAGAGCCACTTTGTATTATTCTGAAACTCACAGGGATTTTGCAACGTGCTGCACACGTGTAAATTAGGAGATAAAACCCATCCCACAGCCGCGCCGGGCCAGCCCCAGCGCCACGCCGCTGGCAGAGAGACAGGAGGCGGTGACACCTGGGCACACACAACCGCTTCTCAGCAGCAGCCAGCTCTGTCAGGGCACAAAGCCACCCCGACGCTCCGGCACCGGGGAACGTTTCTGGCAATAGAGTGGCCCCGAGGACAGACGGCACAGAGGGACCTCCCCAGGGACCGTCCCCAGCCCCAGCACTGAGCCAGCGCCCGGGCGGCTGCAGCACCGGGGGGAGTGGGACTGTGCCGACAGGGTCACCCCCGGCACGGCGCTGCCATCCATGAGCGTCAGCCCAGGGTCAGCCTGGCACCGCAGACTGGACAGAACTGGGACCCCGATGGCACGCAGGAGCGGAGAGACGGGGGGGGCCCAGGTCAGTGCGAGCCGCTGGGCTCGTCTCTGCTCTGTTCCCTTGTTTCCCAGCCAGCCTGCGCTCCCCACCGCGAGGAGCAGGGGCAGGACTTCTCTGTCACCGCCACCAAACCATACAACTACTCACTGGCCTCGCAGTTCCGGCCCTACTATGCTGCGCATCATGCAAAACAGCTGAAAAAAAGGAAAAAGCTGCTCCTGTAGACGAGCAGAGAGAAGAGAGGCGAAGGAGGACACAGCCTTGGGTGCAGGTCCGTGCTGCCAGCTGCCCCACAGTCCACATCATCCCATCGACTGAATAATTCTGCTCTAAAAATGCCCGCGCACCACCAACGTGGGCCTCGTGGCAGGTCTGAGCTCCGCGGGTCTGCCCTTCCGGGCACTGCTCGCTAACGGGGTTAGCGATGGGGAAGGAGACACGGGGGCACCTTTGGGAATCGGCCTCTGCAGCGCAGCACAGCCACAGCTCCTCCCCGGACAGACAGACAGACAGACGGGCTTTCTGCCAGAGCGCCAGCTCGCCAGCCCCGCAGGGAAGGAGCTGGACTTGTTTAATTCCTCTTTAACAGCCCTTCCCTGAGCGACTCCGCAGGGTCTCGGCGCTCGCAGCCAGCAGGACACGCAGTCCCCGCTCGCCGTCTGCAATCCCCTCCCTCACGCGCCGGCCAAAGGCACCGAAAAGAGCGAACTAAACAGGAAAGGTGGGAAAAGGCCACAGACATTACTTGCAACTATGGCAATTAAAACATTTATCAAACAGAAATATGAGTGAAAGGATCCTCCTGCTTTGCTTACCAAATTAGAGTCTCTCAATAAGTTAGGTCACTCACTTTTATTAAAGCATAGGGCATTGATTTTTGTAAAGCAAAACAAACGGACTGATGCATCGTTAGTCGGGATGATATAAATCACGTGCTGGACACCCTGACACAACATCCCTTTCAACTGGGCAAAAAAATAAAGTGATTTTAAGGCCAAATTAATAGGATGACATCCATACGGAAACACTATTGCTGGGACAGCCAACGGGCCCTGCTCTGAATCCCGGTACTGAACGGGACTGAGTTCGGAAGGTAGTCTGGAACGTCTGAGCCCAAGGAGCGCACCCAGAAGTCACCCGGACACCAGCAGGAGGTCTGTGCTGCGCTTCAAAACACACCGACACAAATTTTGCTCTTTAGCGACCCTGTGAGTGTAGCATAAAGGAAAATGTAAGTTTGATTTAACTGTTATCCTCACACTAGCCTCTTTTGACATTAAAAAGCACCGTTAGTTCAAAGGACTGCATTCACGTTTACCCAAGTGTTGGTGTGTGCCTCCACAGTGCTCCGTATGAACCCCCCAGAGCCCTATTTGGTTACAATTCATGAAACAAACAAACAAACAGGTTAAGAGAGAAGACTGTTTTAAGAGATGACCCTTACTGCTGGCTGCCCTTTGAGCTAAGCTTTCCCATAGTCCCAAACACGACTCTGCTGGCGCTAAGGCTGAATCACTCTCCTCCAATCAGAAAATAAAAATAACATCGTGGCACGCGCACACGTCTGTTTCGAGACGCTGAAATTGAAAAATCCTTTTGAGGCTGCTCTGGAGGTAAAGCAGGCGAAGCAGAGCCGCCGCAGAGCCGCCTGTGCTGCACGGACACGGAGCCCTGCTCCTGCCCCGGGCACCACCACCGCGGCCCCGCCGGTGCCGCAGCCTTCGCCGTCGGGGCGCTGGCGCTGCCTCGCTCATCTCCTTGCCCCGGTGATACGGACAATTTTATTTAAAGAGAAGCCAATCGGAAAGAGAGAAGACAAAACGTGGTATCTTCTCACACTGTGCTAAAGTCAATTTACTGTGACGATCCTGCCACGATATTTTCTGCTTTTCTGCCCCCCCCACGCTTTTTCTTGAAACAGCCGAGGCAGAACGCTCCGTGGGAGAACAGGAGTTATATTAATCGAATCAAATAAGCTGCAGAGTATTTACTGGCATTCTGTAGAGCCACAAAACATGGGACCAAACAACCGTTTGGCACAAGTATGAGTCCTTTCTGCTGAGATGATTTTTCCTACGGATTTAGCTATATTTTGAGGAGTCTTAAGCTATATTTTGAGGAGTATTAATTGTCACTATGTTTTTTGAAATAAAAGTTGAAGAACTCATCTAGCACAGTGAATATACTTTTCCTAACAGAAGGCATCTGGAGGTAAATTAAACTCCCTAAATTCTGCCTTTGCCAGCAAGAAAGGAACAAAAAAAACTGTCAGAGAAGCGCTAATGCAGATATATTTATTTTATATATATATTTCAACCTATTTTTTCTTTGCTGGTATTTTAGCCACTGAAAGAGAGCTCCAGCCAGGGGAGCACTGTTTGCCTTTTTATTTAGAACATACCAGCCTTGCTCATACATTAATCAGTACCCTCTAATGTCTGAGCTAGAAATGTATATCGACAGGGTTCTGGGCCAAATTCACCCATAGGTTAGCTCAGATGACCTCTCTGGCTTGCGCTAGAGAGGGATGTGGCATGGGGCGTTCCGCTCCCAAAGGCGTAGGTGCATGGCGGGTGGGCGCCGTCACCGCGACATGCGCTGAAAGGAGGGACGACCGCACAGCGAGAAACCCAGCCACGGCCGTCGGCTCTGTCGAGCGCTGCACTGCACTTACTTGCTCAGGTATAGGAGAAACAGGTATGATGTGATAATACAGGACCACGTTTCACTGTGCCCAGATGAGAGATTTCTGAGAGATTCTCCTTCCCCCACCCCTTGGCTTTTTGGAGAATTACGATTATCTGTACCTCTCCTTCTGCCAACCGGGCGGTGACCACGCAGGTCAGACCGGCAGGTACCATACATGGCTCAGGGAGAGCTTTCTGCTCTGCCTGACAACGCGCTGTAAAAACCAAAGGGCAATCCCAGCGAGTAATTCCCTGAGAAGGTTCCCCTGAGTGAATGGAAAACATCCAGCAAGAATCTTCTCAAACCCAGGAATCTCCTACAGCAGGTGAAACTGCAAAGGAAACGTCTATTTACGAAAATCCCATGCGGATGACTCACTCTCTTAATTTTAAGAAGTTGCAAAAAAAAGGAATTAAATTAAGAAATGATTAATAAAATTGGTGAAGTTAAAATGTTATTTCAGGCAAGGGAGAATTAAGCAAAGACATACAGACCAGCATCTCACTGTGTTTGGTTTCTCCACCAGTACCCGACGTTTGTGGGCTTTCACAGGCGTGCGAGCCCACCTGCTAACTTACTTCAGCTGCAACTCACTGTACTCATCGACGGAAGGCAAAAAGCGCACGTACCACAGGCTGCAGCGGGGCCCCAGGCATCATGGCGTTGGCGAGCTGCATCTGCTGGGCCAGCATGGCCATGTTCTTCTGCTGAATCAGGTTATTGCGTCCATTTATCTCCAGCTGCGTTTTTAAGTGTGGTGGTGGGTGAAGATACTTGCAGTTTTCCCTTGAGCATCGGCCCTGAAGAAGAGAATCGACAGAATTGGCTTAGAAGTTATGGGCATTATCTTCATCCTTATGTCACGGGCTAAAGCAAACGCACCACAGGCTGCAGACCCAGGAGGAAAGCCCCCGGCTACGTCTCTCGGCTGTCACACACTGACCAGGGCAACTTCACAATTCCACCATCAGCTGCTTGCTTTGCTTTTCTCAACTATGTATTTCTGCAGTACAACTCTTAAGAAAACACTGTTTCTTTTAAAAGTTGCTGAAGGTGAGCAAGTATCGGTTGTTTCGAATGCGCAGCACGCGTCCTCTGTGGGCACAGGTCTGTGCCGAGGGCGTGCTGAGCCCCCGGGCCTCGGCGCGGCTGCCCCTGCCCACGGTCCCACAGACCCCGCGACGGAAACGGGCTCCGGCTGCAGCACGGAGCCGACAAAACCTCCCGTGCTACTCCGAAAATGTTCAAGGCTCGCTTCCCTTTCTGCTGTGCGCAGCGAGACGTGCGGTCAAAGCAGCTGTATTACCAGGAAAACAGCACTGGCTCTGCGCTTCACTAGACCTGGAATACAGCTTCTTTGAAGAAAACCTCTTACATACGATGGGTTTTTGTTGCAACTGTGTAAACCAAACAAGAAAATCAGAATTGACTTGTTTCTAAATTTTTCATTACATTCAGATGTGGTAAACAACAAATTTCAAGCACTAATTTTATTTGGATGACAGGACATTCATCAATTTGACAACCACTGACATCAAGAAATAATAAAAAATAATACTATATACAATGTATATCCAAACCCCACTGTACCTCCTCGTTACCAAGTAAACCAGCTTCGTACATAGAATCACAAAACAGTTTGGGTTGGAAGGGACCTTGAAGATCACCCAGTGCCACCCCCTGCCCCGGGCAGGGCCACCTCCCCCCAGCCCAGGTTGCTCCAAGCCCCGTCCAACCTGGCCTTGAACACCTCCAGGGATGGGGCAGCCACAGCTTCTCGGGGCAACCTGCCCCAGGGGATCACCGCCCCCACAGGAGAGAATATCTTCCCAATATCTCACCGCAATCTCCCCTCTGTCAGTGTCAAACCGTTCCCCCTCGTCCCATCGCTCCCCTCCCTGACCCAGAGTCCCTCCCTGCTCTCCTGGAGCCCCTTTAGGCACTGGAAGGGGCTCTGAGGTCTCCCCTTTTTGGCCTTCTCTTCTCCAGGCTGAACCCCCCAACTCTCCCAGCCTGTCCTCCCAGCAGAGGGGCTCCAGCCCTCAGACAGAGACACCCGGGCTCGGTGAGCTCCCCTAACGTGGGCTCTTGCTGCGGGCTCCTGGTGGGGAGCTGAGCACGAAGGGGACTTCGGAAAACTCGCCCCATGTTCCCCCAGCTGTGGCTCCACCATAAAAACCTCTAAACTGGAAGGCAGAGCCTGAGCGAAGGGCACCGGGCAGTGCCCAGTCCCGGCGTGCGGCACTGGGGGGTTGGGAAGAGACCCCCCTCTCCTGGGGAGGAGATTCCCCTCTCCTCATGGCATGTGGGCTGCGATCTCACGTGCCAAGAGACTTCAGAAAATGCACACATTAATATGGAAGCTTTACACACTAACTTTTCTTTAAAACTGTAACAATGGAGCCCATACTTTCACTTAAGGGATGACAAAAATTAAAAGAAAACAACAAAAACAACACAACTAAAAAGGAGAATTGAATCCTTTTCTGGAAAAAAAAAAAATCCCTAAATGACGTTATTTTTCTTTAACTCGTTCATCTTTGAAATAAATGCAAAGAGGAACAATGACAAGGCAAAAGACAGCCTTAATTTAAGTAAGAAATCATTTTTATCAGGAAGCAAATTAATTCAATATAATTTGACCTTATACTGCAATTTTGCTCAGAAATTTAAAATGTATTCTTATTATAAGATCTGCCAGAAATCTAATTTGTACGATGATTTTTGTCTCCCCTTAAGGCTGGGAAAACCGCTCTGCTGCTGCTCCCCTCCCAACCCATCTCTCCTGCCGGCAGCCCAAAGCTCTTGGAGCTCATTTTCATAGTCAGTCAACCGACATCCGAGCGATGCTTGCACAGGAGGTACACCCGATACAACGGAAAATAGGTGAAGTTTTGTGGGTATCTTCAGGCTACACCCCACGAGTGCCGAAAGCCCCGTGTACACGCAGACCACCACTGCAACAAACGGCAAAGAAAGCTCACCTTTCAGAGCACCCGCTCAGAGTCCCTGCGCGCGTCTCCTTGAACGAAATGCATTTCCCACCCCGCGGCCCCGTCCGCCCCCAGAGAGAGAGAGGAGAGCGCAGCGACTGCTGCCCGTCTCCGCGGGAAAGCGCAGCGGAACAGACACCCGGCACTTGGCCATGCCATCCTCCCCGGCGCGGGGCCGCAGGCCGCAGGCTGTGGGACGCGGGAGGGCTGCGGGCTGCCCTCGGCAGGGCCGGGACACGGACGGGACCGCTGAAGTCACTTCACGGCTCCAAATGTTGGAGAGCAATCAAGACAGGGGCCAGAAAATGCACAAAAGCCAACAGCACAACATCTATCCTACAGATAAGACGGGGGAAAAAACATGTGCGGCCGGAGAAAATATTTCTACAGGGGAATGGAGCTTCCTACTGCAAATAAAGATTAGGATACTTCAGATACAAACACTAACAGTTCAGAAGGAGAACGGACAAATTGCTGGTGGCAAGAGGAATGGGTGTTTATGGAGCGCCAATTTTATACGTGTGTGTGTACACAGCCGTACAGGGGTACCTATATGGCCCTGCTGGTTGCTGCTCTCCCGTGGGAGCTCCCCGGGACGCCTGCAGCAGCGCAGGGCGAGAGCGTGCCCGTCCCTGTCCCCGGGGACCAGAGCCCGCACCCCAGAGCCCGGCGCAGCGGCCAGACCTGCGCAGGGCCAGCGCAGCGCGCGGTGCACCCGCCGCAACCACGTGCCGGACATCTCCCACCCGGCTCGTCCGCACGCTGCGGGGAAAGCACGCCTTCAGCCTGGGGGATGCCTTGGGACAAACTGACCCTCACTCCTCTCCTTTAATACCCCACTCACAACACGGGTCGGGAATAAAGCCACTTTGCACAAATAAACCAACCTCATTTCACACACACACACCCCCCCCCCCCCCCCCCAAGCCAAAGCACTTCAGGATGATCAAAAGGGTGGGTGAAAGGCAAACGCTTCGGAACAGCTCTATTTATGTCGATTTTTCTCTCGATAACCCCATGTTAATTGTTGCTACCACAAGTAACACGGGGCAAAACTGCACATTTACACCCTGCCTGGAAGATGGTATCTCACATTAGCACAGTGTAAAAATCAGACTTAATTACTGCTAAATGAGTAACGTGAAACTACAACGGGTGTTGCTGGAATCAGAGGAGCAACTAACAAACCTGATTCCAAAATGCAGATTAAACTCAATGTCCTTCTGTCAGCGGTGGGGTTCTGGCTGCCCCACGCCTCTCCAGGCTGCATCACCACCGCTCCAGGTACCTCACAGACCCAAATGCCAGAAGAAACCACACCAGTGACCCAACGCAACGTCCTCGGGCTCCTGGGACACAGGGAGCCCCCTCCCTGGGCTCCCCGTCAAGGCCATCATTTCTGTGCCCTTAGCAGCTGATCCTGAAGGAAGACAATTTACTTTGAATTAAAAACTATGAAAATATACCACATCCCCGGGTGAACTGTGTTTATGTGCAGTTATCATTAGGTACTATCAAAAAGTTTACATCTTTCTTGTGTGTGTGTTGCTTTGGAGTCTAGTCCAGCATTTAACTTCCAACCCTTTTGAATTTTCTGATCCTGGCAAGTTTTCCAAAAGAAACGCAGCCGGCTCTGTTTGGGAAGCGGCTTTCCTGTCCTACTGATACTCCATGGACTTCAGAAAGGGTCCAGAGAGCGCCCAGGGGTCAGAAACCGCAGCCTGAAAACCACTGCCAAAAATCTGGATCAAGAAGACGTACTGCATTCGCCTCCTTTATCCTGCGAGGAAGTAGCTGCTTAATTACCTTTTCACTAGATTCGGGTAACTTCAGTCAACAAAGTTTAAGGCGGATTTTCAACTCTCTGAACCTTTTCTGAACCCTTTGCTATTTTTGCAATCATAAAAAAACGAAGACTGTGAGCGAGTGGACTCAGAGAAGCGGAAGCGGAGCACGCGGGCAGAGACCCGAAACGCCGTACCAGTGCACTACTGGGGTTTTACCAGAGTCCTGCCGGGTGACAACTGACTAAACATGCTCCCGATGCTCCTGGGGCACGCTCCGCTGCGCCTCCGGGTCCCTCGGCCGGGCGGGACAGGGCCGCCCCCAGGGGCAGAGCCAGCAGGGCAGCGCGGGGTGCGCGGCGTCACACTAAGGGGGGGCACCCCCGGGACAGGGACGTGAGCGGTGCCACGCTCCCGACAGCAGCGCCCGGTGACCAGCCCTCCTGCACGTCCTGCTCGCACACGGCCCCGCGGAGCGAGGAAGAGGAGGACGAGGCGAGCTGGGCCCGTCCGCC